TGCCATCATCCCCTCTCACCCCTGTCTACTGGGTGAACGTCATAAAAGGTTTGCCCATCCGTCACACCCGTAGACAACCAAAAGCAAACTGTATCTGTGTTTACTATGACACAAAGACCTGCCGACATGTGTCTAACGTTGCTGCAAATTAATTTACATAGGAGTGAGTTGAAAGTAATGTGGGTCTCCAAAAACAAGAGCAACAATATTAGTGAGCATTAAGTATTAGCCAAAAAAAATAAAGTGTGTACCCCTCTACAGGAGAGGACCAGCCCACTGAGAGCTCAATCCCTTAATAAATAGCCAAAGAACCAAAGTAGGGCACCGCTTTATTGAGGAATGTCTTTCATCTTTTTTTGTTGTTTTTTGCAATTGTGGACTTGATTGTGATAAAGGTCCGTCTTGTTTTCCTTTCCCCTTATGTCTTCCATAAAGAGGACCTAAGAGGGTTTGAATGGGGCTCCTGCCAGCAGGGACAGGGCAGGTCACCTCCCTGACTATCATTATTGAATTTCAAATATTAATTGTGGAAAGAGGGTGTTATGGTTTTTAATTGAGGATTAAGATGGTATGCTCCTCCATCCTTACATATCAGAAAGTATTTATATGCTGCAATTCCTCTTTAAATGTCAGTAGTCACTGTTTCAAATAATCATCTCTTCACTTTATCTAAAACTCACCCAGGAAACTTAATGAAGTCGTTTTAATGTTGTGTTAGATTGGGCTGTCAATCAGGCCCTAAAGAGCTGTGTCATGACTGGATTTGGTGCAAAGCTCAGTTAATATGGATAAGAATAGGAAAGTGGAAATAAGGACGTGAGTGAACAAGTTAAATATACCGTATTTCTCTTCAAGCTTTGCACATCATTAGAATACAAATGACACAGTCTTATAGCTCCAGGGTTTTACCTCTACATACCTCCCTAATATTAGCTTATATCATTCTCCATTGGTTTGAAAAGGGACAGGTCAATTATTTGAATGTTAATGCAAAAAATGACTCGTTCTTTTATTATTTGGAAGGTAATTGAGGCTTCTAAATTCCCTTATAAAGAGTTATAAAGCTGCATATTTTAGACCATGGCAGGTTCAGCTATAGATAATATTGATGCTAATAACAACAATGATAAAAATTCATGCTCAAAAACTACTATTTTAAGTTATTTGTGAATTCAAAGAAAAGAAGCATTTTGTGTACTATGAAAACATCCTAGATCTTTTATATCAACTTGCGAAATATGGGAGCCAAAAACATTAAACTATTCTGTTTTCTTCGCTGGGTATAAAAGCAAAACCTTGAAAAGGGAATGCATTCAAAAAATAAATACAGATTTTTCATTTCAATATTATTGTACTTTTACTCTGAGATCGCTGAGGATTCATTTTCATCCTGTGATTTTTGAAATGATGACAAAAGACCTCTTTGTCAGGTATACTCAGCATACCTGACTCAGCATGCCCCCCCCCCCCCCCGCCCCATCTTAATTCTGGAACTTTCCATTTGCTTCTGTGACCCAACATCATTACTGTTGTTTGTCAAATCCAAAGCTTTAATTACAGTCCAGCTATCAGGGAAAATAATTAAACACAAAGAGAGCCTGCTTTGGAGAAGAAAGAGAATTGAAAAATTGGGTCGCTGGCTTCCTGTCAAAATAAACCAGTCACAAGAATGTGATAAAAAAAACAGCGAGTGTGTTAGCACACAAAAGGTGTTTTGGCAATGAGGCATATTCATTTGTGTTTCTAGTTGAAAGGAAGCAAAGATAAACAGGCTTAAAACAATGCAGGAAGATGAAAGGAAGGGACCGAAAAAGAAGACGAAGATGGACAGACAAAGAGAAACAGACCAAGATCGACAGAGAGAAAAGAGAATGACCTTGATGATTGGATAAGAGGAGTGTGGTCAGGCCCATTACAGCATCATTAATTAAAAATACTGGGCTGATTATGGGTATTTTGGCAGTAAACATGTAGCTTAGAAATGTAACTGACTCATCTTTCATGTTTGCAGAGCACATTAAAAGAAATGTCAGGCTAGCAGTCATATCGTATCAGATATGCTGCTAATATGAGATCCTGACGGGGAAAAACAACCTAACAGTAATCACTAGCAAGACATAGTCTTCTTTTACATTTTATTTGTGTGTTTGTGTGTTCGTTTGTGAGTGTGTGTGTGTGTGTGTGTGTGTGTGTGGGTAGGGGGGGGGGTCCTTTAAATCCAGCTTAAATTTCAGAGGTATGCTCCAGGCGTTGTTTGTACATTACCATAAAGATATGTATGCAGGATTCCATTGCCGCGTTATGACACCAGACTTGATTTGTCTTTTTTCTAACGATTGGTCACGTTCTTATGTGTCCTCTACTGTGCAGCAGTTCAATGAGAAATCTAAAGCTGGACACACAACTGATTAATGAATGGCTTTTACTGTATAATAATCAAGTTTTAAATGGTTTCTTTGGTTGTTGTCTCACTGTGCTTAGACTGTTAGTTGCTCTTCCTGGGAGCGTTTTATTTCACACATTGACATACACACACACACACACACACACATACACAGGGGATGACAACAGGGCTGGGTTAATAAGGCAAATTGAAGGACTGTGGTGGAGGAATTGAATTGTCAATATCAATTTCATGGAACAATTTGAAGAGAGGACTGAGCTGCAAGGGCTGTGGTGTGAAAGGCTAACTGAGGTGCTGGTGTAGATTGAGGATGAGAAGACAGAGGAGGAGGAGCAGCAGCAGGAAGACAGCTTATAAGGGAGGGCCATGATAGAAACATCCAAAGTTGTCTTTCTCCTGAGTAGATTGGATAACAATATGTTGCTGCTTCCTTTTTGCACAAAATTGTCTTTATTGGGTTCTGACAACCTTAATAGTACAGAGGGGGGGCATATACAAATACGTTTTTCGTACAAAGAATAGATATATTGTACATATTTTATGTAAATGCTTTTAAACCGTTGTTTATTTTGCATTTGTCAATTTATGTTTCTAGACAGTAGAAGTACTTTAGTTCACTGTGTTTACTGGAATGCACCAAAAACCAAAAAAATCATGAGTGAATATTATCGGTAGGATTTAGTTTTTAGAGACACCAAGATGGCTACCAACATTAAATCAAACAATCAATCAATCATCATTTGTATAGTGCCAATTCATAACAAATGTTATCTCGGGACGCTTTACAAACGAGCAGGTTAAAGACCTTTCTCTTTGTTATTTAATATTACAAACGAGCAGGTCTCTCGTACTCTTTTTTATGTTACAAAAAGAAAAATGGTATAGGGGGGAGATGGGATAAGATGCAGGAAGGATTCCTTCTTAGTATTCCTCACATTCCTGTTGTCAACACTTCCTTGTCTCTAAGCTGGAGGTCAGAGCAGGCAGTGCATAAATGAGGACGGCAGTGGTTGTGGGGATAACACAGGCCGATGGTGGTGGCTGGGCATCAGGGACGTTGGGCGGAAGTAGTGCCTGATCACCTCGCTGAAGGTTAGGAGAGCTCCGTTTACCCGAGAGCCGGACTTCTGCTGCCAGGACATTGGCTGCATGCACTTGGTTCTCTGGGTTATAACCAATCATGTGCCCAGGCTACAGGCTTTCTTGAAATTATCATAATTACAAAAAAAACAAAAAACTTGTAACAAAAACATACCATGTATGACACAACTAATAATAATAATGGATGCTGAGACCCTATTGCTCTATTTTACTTACATTTTCTGGTGAGCAATCAATTTAAACAGAATTCACACAAATGTTTGGATTCTCCCTTGAGACTCAGATTAAGAAAGATCTATTACTTGGTTCTACTTACAGTCAATCTCCCTGTCATTCATTTTGTGGTAAGATAACTTTCCCCTGGGAGGGAATCAAAACTTTGGGAACAAATTAACAGACTCAGAGCTGTGGTGATGAGATACATAATACGTTATGCTGGATTAGAGCCTAATCCACGTTAAATCCCCCTGAGAAAGGTAAATAGCTAAATGTCAACTGGAATCCTGTTAAAACATGCAAATTACAACAGCCCTCCTCTGTCTGCCACTTAGCCCATCTCTCCATTTTCACCCCAATATAAACTGCAGCTATTAAATTTTTATTGTTTCATTATGTACCTCACAGTTGCAATATTGAAGCTGCGGCTGCAAACTGGTGAACCTTGTTAACAAAGACAAAAGCACAAAAGAAAAGCAACATTGCTTTCAAGGTCCTGGCAATTTCCATATCCATTGGTGCATCATATGGTGATGTGTGAACAGTAGAGCAGCAAGTCATTCTCATACCAGGCTGTTATTGTCGAGCATATGAATAATTACAGAAAATAAAAAACCTGGTGTCATTTGAGAAGTCGAAATGTATTTTGTTGGGGTTGTTAAAGACTTAATGAAATAATCACAACAGTTAATGGATTTATTATTGTGGTGCATTACCTTGAAGGGATTGAGTTGCATGGGTATTAGATTCATACCTGTTTTTTTACAAAATGCTTTTGGAAATGAGAACTTAACTAAATTAATTCCGCAAGCATCTGGTGATATGTGAACTGTAATATATTGTGCTTTACTCATTTTGTCGTTATAACTGATGTTAATATTCTCCCCTCCTTCCCTGTTGTGTCTCCTACTCTACCTCCCTCCCTCCCTCCTTCTGCGTGTTATATAGGCCTCCTGCCTTGCTCTTGGAAGGAGTATTTCCTCAAGACGTACAGTTGTCGGGGGCCATGCATAGCTGCTGGGGGGACAGTCTCCAAAATCCTTTGACCTGGAACACCTAAAATGGGGACGGGACCCGCTGCCATGCTGCAAATTCAGCTCTAATCACCGTGAAGACGCCCCTCCGCTCACCTCTCTTTCTCTTCTTAAATTTGGCCTGCTTGCCCCTGACCTGCACCCTCCTCCTGATTTGAAACTGCTGCTTGCTGCCTTCCTCCCTTCAACTCCTTTTCTTTAACTCCTTTCTACTGAGGCTACCCAAACACTCTTTATCCAAAACCATGGCCAGCAGACTCCATTTCTCCTCACTGTCTCCCTCCCTGTTTCTCTCCCTGCTGCTCCCTTCTCTTTTGCTCCTCCACCTGCCCAGTATGGTGAAAGGGGACTGCTGGCTGATAGAGGGGGATAAAGGCTACGTCTGGCTGGCTATCTGCAGTCAGAACCAGCCACCCTACGAGACAATCCCCCAGCACATCAACAGTACGGTCAGTATGAGCTTATCTATCAGAAGGGCCTTTTACTACCTTCAAAACCACCTCTATTAAACCGTATGATTTCCTGTAGTTTATTATCTTAATTTCAAACAAAATCACATGCTATTAATTGTAATAGTGATTTGCAAGGCAGCAAGTTAATCTGGTCTTCTGTTAACTCACAATAATGCTTGTTCTTACTGTGAGCCTCTGATAGTTAGGGTTGGTTTGTTTGGTGTAGTAGGCTACCTATCATACAACCGCTAAACTATACTTTATGTTAATTAATAACTTTAATGTTAAAAATGAATACTGCACATTCTTCCATAATAATCACATGCCCATTAATAGATAAAATGTTAGCAATTGTGAATTAATTTTTTGACTATAGTGATATTAATAATGCAAATTACGTCCTCATCTTGTACTTGGGGGGATATGCTAATACTGTATCTATGGACACAATGTAATTTATAAAGACTCAATGGGCTAGCTGACTCTTGCGGGTTGTTGTTACATTTTTATTTGGATGTTCATATATTCAGAGCTACTGGCTGCTGAAAATGCCAATAAATATCCATGACTAGTCTCTTTCTATTTTACTGTTTTGAACTTGTAAATTTATGCTAATTAAGCAAGCACTGTTCTGGCAGATCCATGGAAACTTTTAATTGGTAGTACCAAGTGCTTAAATTCGATTAGCCATCTGGAAATTAATGAGTTAATTATTACAACTTAAACATAATGTATCAATGTAACAGTAATGGTAACATATCTCCACAACACTCCTAGCATCAACATTTACGTCTGCTTCATATCTCATAGGGATGCTGAGCTGCTCGCGAACAGGTAGTCATTAACTAAAAACACACCATCACATGTGTATTTGGGAAAATTACTAATTAGACAGCAAACTGTATGTTTGGAGGCGTAATATGCTCGTGTGTCCTTTTCTAAGGCTGCCAGGTGGTGGAAAGTATTACCTTAAAGTCATCAACTCTCTTTCGTGTCTCCCTTAGGTTCATGACTTGAGGCTGAATGAGAACAAACTTAAGGCTGTGCTCTTAACCTCTATGTTCCGCTTCACAAACCTTACCGACCTCAATCTTACAAAGAACGAAATCAGCTACATCGAGGATGGGGCCTTTGCTGGACAAGCCAACCTACAGGTCAGCATCCCAGGATACAACTCTTTTCATGTATTTGTTATTCCAATTTTACCAAAAAGTTTAAAATGAACAATCTGTTTCACATGTATACAGACAGAATGAGAATCATCTTTATTGACCAGGTATGCTCACACAAACAAAGACTTTGACTTGGCAAGGAAGTAAACAAACTCTCCTTAAAACTTCAGAAGGGGGTCCCATACAACTTAACATGTGCATCTTTATTACAGGAGCCACACATTGTTTTGTTTTAATGTTGTACAGACATTTGTCTCATTGTATAAACACCTATGTCAATCATACTATGTAAGACCATACCTGTCTATTCATACATATGTGGTTGTAAAATGTAATCTTGATCATATTTATCCTTATCAGGAGACCGTGCTTCTTAAATTGTTAACTTATCTGCACATGGACATACTCTGGACAAATAACTGTGTATATTACTTGTGGCCTGATATAAAAATAATACTTTATATTGAGGTTAAACTTATTAGTATCAGTTGTTCTTACACAATGATAATATTTTTAAGTAATTTTAGCTAATAATATTTTCTGAACTCATCAAGCCTTACAGCAAGGTTTTCATAACCAGTTCATTGCTGTTGTAAAATTTCCCCAGCTTGCTTGATTATTGAAATATGACTTGATGTGTCCTGATAAAACACATCCCATTATAGCATTATGGACGTGCACATTTAAAAATTATATATCAACCAAACTCAAAAGTCTTATTGTTTTATGTCTTGTTTTCCAAACATTTTGAAAGTGCCACTCTGGTTTTTTCCCTCAGGTTCTCCAGCTGGGCTACAACAAGCTGACCAATTTGACTGAGGGCATGTTGAGAGGTCTAGGTCGAATGCAGTGCCTCTTCTTGCAACACAACCTCATTGAGGTCATTGCCAACAATGCCTTCTGGGAGAGCCCTAGCCTCAGCAGCCTTGACTTATCTTCAAATAAGTTGGCCCGTCTAGATCCCTCTACCTTCACTGTTCTCAACAGGCTGATGGTGTGTGAACTAGCAGGAAACCCTTTCCATTGTGGCTGTGATCTCTACAGCTTTCTTACCTGGCTTGAGGCATTTAACAATGTCACCCACACCTATGACCGCCTCCAGTGCGAAACACCTCCTGAAATGACTGGTTATCCACTCCTAAGCCCATTGCCTGGACATGGAAGAAATGCCCGTTACACTCTTTTGACTATGTGTCGTGATGGTGTGATAATTCCAGGGATGACCTCCCAGACGCCAGACCAGGACGGTTCAGGAATGTTCGACAACCCAGACCAGGGTCTCTATCATCAGCCAACCATATTGTCTACTCCCGACCCCACCTATAGCCATCAGATTTCGCTGAAGCTTCAAACCGTCTCCTTCTACACTTCTTCTCTAATGGTGCAGATCCCACGACCCTACAGTAAGATGTACATCCTTTCACAGTACAACCAAACTTTTGTTGCAGATATAATGCCCCTTAAAAACAAGAAGGAGATAATCACTTTGGACAAGCTAAAACCACATACAAACTATACCTTCTGTGTGGCTTCTGTGAGCAAGTCTCAGCGATACAACCACACCTGTGTGTCCTTTACCACACGTGGGCCAGAGGACCCGCGAAACAATCCATCGACAACTACCCACTACATCATGACCATCTTGGGATGTCTCTTTGGCATGGTTATTGTGCTTGGATTTGTCTATTACTGTCTCAGACGTCGTCGCATCGAGGAAGAGAAGCAGAAAGCTATAAGTGTGAAGAAAACTATTTTGGAGATGAGGTACTAGATATTCTTTTACATCAAATTTTGTTTAATGAAAGTCCTTTCACATAACTACAATTTGTCATTTTAAAGGCATGGTAAAAAAACATACTACACAGATAGTAGCTACATCTTGGATGTTTTAACCACAACACAAATAACAAATTCTGTTATTCCTTTGAGAGTCACAGTGTATGCTATGCACATCCCTTCATATGTTAAATCATTTTGTTTGAATTCAATTCTTGATACACATCGATTTTGCAAGCTATAAACAATTAATTAAACCTTTTTTACTTTGACCATATTCTAAATCAAGACTTTGGGCCAGCCAGACATGCTGTTATGATTTGACAACTTTTAATGTAAAAGACATTTTTTGACCTCTGCGGGGTTCTCTGGTAAAATAAAGTTTTGAGCTGTTATTGAAACAGCATACCATGGAATCACTTACTGGCCGTATTAAAATGAAGAAATTATGTATGCAAATCTGTCTTTAGATAATGAAACTTCATGGATTGCTTGTGTTAAAGTGAATATATTGTTCTTCAGGTATGGTCCAGAGGCCGCTGCTACAGTATCCAATGACCCAAGTGCAATGCAGCGTCTCCAAGAGCAGGCTCACCACCAGCACCACCATTCAGGAGGAGCAGGAGGCAAGTTGCCCCAATCTGCCTCCTCTAGCACAGGCATGCTTCACGGCTCAGCCAACACTAGTTCTTCCCGCCTCTCCACCTTGCCACAGGTGGAAAAAATGGCCACTGCCTTTTCTGAGGCAATTGGTGGCAAGGGCAGCTACATGGATGTAAGGACACAAGGAATAGCAGTGGAAGGCAGGGAAGGGGTGGCAGCTGGAAGTACAGGGGTTGGAGGGGAAGTAGTTGTGGATATGCGGGGTGGGGCTGAGAATGGGACAGAGGCTGGGGAGGATTCGGATGATGATGGCCGTGGCTCAGCATCAGAGATCTCCACAATTGCCAAGGAAGTGGACAAGGTGAACCAGATCATCAACAATTGCATAGATGCCCTGAAGCTGGATGCCTCTGCCAATGTTGTAACCACAGCTGATAATGCCACCTCTGTATCCTGCTCCCAGCCTCCAGCTTGTATTGCATCTCTCCCCCGAAACCTTCTTCCCCTCTCACCAGGCCACCCTGGAGATCAGATTATGGCCTCATCTCCTAAAGTGCATCCAAAATCTCACCCCCAGCCTCATCCTCAGCCACATCCTCAGCTACATCATCAACCTCACCCACCTTCCATGGCTCCAGTTCCCCTGGTCATGCCTCTGTCAGAGCGGCCGGGCATCAGTGGTGGTGGATTCCTCTCACCTCCTTACCGTGACCCACCCCCAGCCAATGCAGTGCGGCCACTTCAAAGGCAGTTAAGTGCTGATACTGCTGTAAAGAACCGTTGTGGTGCCCCTGCTGGTGGATCAGTCAAGAATACAAGGGTGTACAGTGTAGATATACCAGAGAAGGCTGGTGATCCTCCCAAGTACCCAGGAGAAAAAGGAAGCCCTGTGGGTTTGGATGGAGGGGTTGGAAGTGGAGTAAGTGGAGGAGTAGGGGGCTGCAATGGCAATGGGATGGGAAACATAAATGGTGGTGGGGTTAGTGTGAATGGTGGTGGGATGGGTTGTAATAAAGTAAGTGGAGGTGGGTTGGTTGGCCCTGGACAGCAGCAGCACCACTTAGAGGTTCAGCCAGACTACCACAGCTCTGAGCACCGCCACTCCTTTCCTGCACTCTACTATGAGGGTGGAAATGAATCACCTTCACCATCCCAGAAAGCTTCATTCCTTAAGCCACTGGGCCGCACCAAGAGGGATGCCACAGCCACATACTCCCAGCTGTCACCTTCTCGTCACCACAACTACAACTCTGGTTACTCCTCCAGTCCAGAGTATTCCTCTGAGAGCACACTGCGGATCTGGGAGCGATTCCGGCCTTACAAAAAAAGCCCCAGAGAGGAAGCATCCTATATAGCAGCAGGTCATGCCCTGCGTAAGAAGGTTCAGTTTGCAAAGGACGAGGACCTTCATGATATTTTGGACTACTGGAAGGGGGTATCTGCACAGCAGAAGCTGTGAGCTGAAGAAGCATAATAAAATGATTTAAGGGAGATTTTGAGGTTGGAGTCCAACAGCAGACTGATAGAGGGGAAAGATTTAAATGTAGCAAGACAGATTACAGGGTTTCCTGTAAGGTGTCAAGTGACATGGGTCCTCTCCAAGCTGGATCCAGAGTTAAAGATATTTTCTCTCCAGCTGGCATATAAAAATGGTTATCTGAGAATTCATTGACATTCATTAAAGAGGTTGTTTCTGGGGTTTTCTGTTTTAATAACAATACTGAGGTATAATTAACTATATCCAAGCTTTTCATCAGACTACCTCATACTGGGCACTTTGGTTCTATGCAGGCATCCTCAGACCCACTGAATCCCAACTAATAAGCAAATTAAAGGGGTTGACAAGCAAGTGTCTTCTACCTCATTACTGGCACAATGTAGCTCAGCTATCTGAGTTGAAGCAGCCGGTTCATGACTTAAACCCTGTCCCTCATTTCTCTAATCCCATCAAACCGCCATTCAGAAAACAATAATTCCATGGCTCCACCAACACCTGCTCTCCGAAAGAAGCATAATTTAGGTAGATTCCCAGGAAGCTGGATGTCAAATGATGTCCGTTTGTTTTGGAATAGCCTGTATCTCCCTCTTTGGGAAAGAACATTAAGTGATACTTATTGAGCTAATAGTTCTTCCTGGCAATTAGTCAGTGTAAGAATAGGTCAGGGAGGCTCTGTGTTGGGCATGCTTATCGATTTGAAACCCCTAACTATATATGTTCAATAGTGTGTGGGCATGTATATATACAATTCCTGCATGCTTGTGTAAGGGATCTTGTGTGGGTGGGAGAGTAGCGTTGTGGCTTAGTCGCCATTATTATCAGTCTCCTCTCTACAAAGTGGATGGCTTAGTGATGATGCTTTGCATATATATAACAACCCAGTTTGGGAGTTGTGGGTGTGTGCTGTAACACCTTGCAGAAATTTCAGGCATTTGGTGTCCCAACACATTTCTTATTTACAGGCGTAGCATATTTATTTTGATAAGGCAAGCTACTAGATAAGAAATTTACATTTCAATAGGCCGAGTCTTGCAGACATTACTTTAGGGTTGTTATGCAAGTTGGCAAGACAAGTGTAAGATATTAAACTATATTAAAGACCCTGGTAATCACATTTAAGGATGGAAGATTGAAAGCAGGTAAGAGGTTTGCTACATCTTAGTAGAACATGCTAGTCTTAAATAAAAAGATAAAGAATTCACCATCTTAAGGCAAGGCTGCAAATAAACTTGAAATATGTCAAATGCTCCCTGCTCTATACACCATGAGATAAAATGGATGGTAAGGGGAATGAGGGCCTGGGGATATACTCCGCCTCAGACTGGATGACTTCAGTATATATGACCCTGCTCTGCTATGGACCAAAGTGCCTATTGGAGGACTGATTCCATGTTTTCATTTGTATTTAATATATTATCCTTTCCTTTCCAATATTTTTAAAACATAATTATATAATTCAAAGGAGCAAGAATGCAAATGTCCTGGTTTAGTCTGGTTTATTTATTATTTGGTTGGGATTTCTGGCTGTTGCATTGTAATCTGGTGAAGCAAGTAGGAGCAAGGCTTGGTATTATCAGATTTGGATATGAAACGATTTTTCCCCTTTGGCTTTAAGCACAGAACATGCTGATACAAAAGAGGCATGGATAACAAACATTCTGAAATGTTTTAGATAATTCTAACAGAAGTACAACTAATTTGTGTTTTTTAATGCGTCTCTCGTCACCCTGTCATCAACATCCACATCAATGTATTTATTTAAGCTGTGTATTTTTTTCTTCCCACCTTTCAAATCTTCACAACTGGTATCTGACCTCTGTCTCTGCCATGATACATCTCAATTGAAAAGGTATAATTCTGTTTCAAAACGTGTAATTCATTCCCTAATTAATTCCCCTTCACAGTTTTCTTCCCATGCCTGCCACCTCTGTCCAACTTAATGGGGTAAATTAACGAGTGATTTGCAGAGGTTGATGTTGTTCCATCATCTGAGGTCAGAAGGGCATGCTGATATTATTAACTGTGCCAGACTGGGAGCCTGATTGAAATTAATGATGGCTGCTTTTGTCTGCCTATCATTTTTGGTCCCTACATCTGTTATGAGATGCTAAACCATGTCCCACCTCTCTCTGTTACCATTAAAACATTTGGGGGGAAAATGGCTTTCAATGGCTGTGTAGGCTGAGGGAATTAACATCCTTGGTATTATTATTTCTCTTTTAGGATACATATATCAGGCTGGGAAGTAATGCATTCCTATCTGGTTTATTTCATTAGCATTGTCTGAAATCAAAGACTGTTAAAGGTATGGATTTGCTAGGGAAAGAGAGAGTAGAGGGCTATATTTACACTCTTCCGGTGCAGACCTATGTCTGAGCAGACCTGTGTCTACACTGGAAAATATGGGCTCTTTAAATTTTAGCTAGAAGGAGAAACATTTGTTGTGCAGTTGTTGATCATGCTTTATTTTAACTTTTCACCTAAAAAGTACTCTGCATTTCTCAAAAGCAAAATAATGGGATTTTCTGAAAAAAGACAATGTATGGACTCACAGTATAAAGTATAAATCCCTTTCAATCATAGCTTATGATCCACCAGAAGTGTGTTACTGTATCTGCATATACCTTGTCCTTTAGTTTGCTTTTTCAGGATGTCAGCCTTTTCACAGTGGCTGTGTGGCACCAGCCAATAAGAGCGTGAGGGACCAGGTGCCAGATTGTGAGCCACATCCAAGAGGAATCTCCTGGTGTCATTGAGCCAGTAAGACAAGCCAACTTTAAATGTTGTACTTACAAACCACAACCACCAAACCCCTATCATTTTTCATTCATGTAGTGCATTTTCCAGTAAAAACCTGTCACAGCAAGCCCCCCAGTCATTGAAACCATGAGATATTTTAACTAAAGAGAGAACAGGTAGAAACCTTGATGGGCAAATGAGAAAATATGTTTTGTAATTTAAGAAACCTGGCCAGTTAATTATGCTGTAATGATCTGCCCAGTCGTTTTACTGTTAATATCCCATTGTGTCCCGTATTGAGTGATGACCAACAGCCGACCTCTCTCTGTCATCTTTGGCAGCCAATTCAATACAGCCACTAGCGTTTACAATGGGATGTCAACTGTGCGCCATTTACTCTGCTATCAGATCAATAGAACTTAATTTGGGCGACCAAAAAAGAAAACACATAGCAAATTCCCTTGGGTGCTCAGTTGGACAGCCTCCATTTTACAAAGAGACCATTTTTCTATTTTGGCCTATTGCTCAACTCCACAGCAGCTCCCCTGTGTGTGAGGTTCAATGAATCACTAATCAATTAGTTTTAAATTAGTACCATGGGCTATGTAGGTGTGGAAACAAATAAAAATAGCTTCATTTGGATGAATGGGGGGAATTTAGCTGAGGTTACCTGCATATACCCTGAAGGCCTTTTCTCAGAGGTAAGGAAAATATTAACTCAGTTATTCATAAGCACAGTCCAATTTCATAATTCAAATAGAGGATCATTACTCATTTCTGGCTAGTGTTCTTCTTCTTCTGAACCATTATACTGTTATTACAGCATACACTTCACTTGTTTTCTAAATAGACTTTGAATAAAGGCACATTCAACTTCAACAGTATAACACCATTTTAAGAAATAACCAGGACACAGAAGAGTTGTCTGAAAGTATTGACATTCTAAGGTTTTCTAGAGGCAAAAATAGGGAACAATTAAGACATGAGATCCCTGAGGAATAACGGCAAACCATTTCTCACCAGAGCTGTGAATCCCAGATGTGCATTGGGCCTCTGAGAAAAATAATAGAAACATTCAGTGGGACTCCAGTTGGGGTCACAGAGAGTCCAAGGGCCTCATTTAAGTTAACGTCAAGATTATGGTCTCAATGATTAACAGGTACTTTGGGTAGAACACCTACAGTGAATAGGCAACAAGCCTTTTATTAATTTAAAGACTAGAGAATATTTTCTAAATGCCTTACACCAATCAATTTTGGTTGCAAACAGTTCTAGACACAATGCTGTCTGTCTTGGGGACTCATTGCTTTACAAGTTTAAATTCTGATTTCTGTTTTTTACATTTTCAGAGATCAGGCTTATTGAAAAACAACAATCAATAGTCAAGGAAAATCATGAAACAACCCTCTTGTTTGTGTCCCTTTGGAGTAGCAGTTGCTCTCAAGGTGAATCTCTGCAAGATTAACTGTAAGCTTGTAATGGTTCCTGTGGAATGTCAGAGACACCTCTTTCCTTCTGTATAATTCATCTTTAAATCCATACAATAACATCAGCTGTGGACAAATTGACTTTTTTTTTAATGCTGTTAACTATAAAACATTGTGTGAAGAGAGGTATCCTTCAAAGTTGAAGTAAGCCCATAACAGTCCTCTTCCTATTCCTGTTTGCCCCCTCCTCCTCCCCCATTATTAAGTCAGTGATATAGGAACCACTGCTGTGCCTATAACTGTCTCTCCAATTGTAGTTTAATATGGGTGGTGAAATGAGAGTCTTGGGATAAAAGTTATGCGATAATGGATATTCTAAAAAATGCCCCTAGAACTTATTCTTCAACTTGGCACAGGTACATTTATCTCCCATCGCAAAATGTGACATTTTACTAAGCAGAATTTTATATTTATGTTGTAAACATGTAAAATAAAATACCTTATTACAACAGATACATTTCATAAGCTGCAATTTGGTTCAACCTGAAAAGTATTTTTGTGCTATATTGTACCAGGGTGGGACAGTCTTGCTTTCTATTTGAGGGATAAATAAGACTAGCCAGGGCTTAGTTCAGAGTCACTGAAGAATTTTCACTAAAACCTTTCTCCCTCATCCTGATGGTCTTGGAAAAGAAATATCAGGAATTTTGTAGTTTAATTTGATTTGTCCCTCTAAGGGTCAAATGACGTACTGTCATTCCCATTTTACAACTTACAAGTTAACTTTGAGCCAAA